GAAGATGAAGATGAAGATGAAGATGAAAATGAAGATGAAGATGAAGAATTTCCCCTATTAAGTTTCACTTCTTCCGCGCGTAGGGACTACACACACTGGGTTTTTTTTATTTTTATTCCAACTCTAAATTTAGGTGAATTGAATTTTCTAATATTAGGCAAGTCATGCAAAAATTATTTCCACCAAAAATTACTTTATAAGGATTTATAAAACATTGTGAGAACCTTAAAAAACATATGTGTGTAACGAATACCTATTCCTCGCTAGAGCAGACACCTTTTCGTTCTTGCGGTGGCTTTGCTGAATCACCAATCAGTCTTCTCTTGTAACTCTAACCCCCTAATCCGAGAGGGATTAACCGGCTGAATTTTATCGATCCAGTTGGCACATAAGCGAACCCACTCGACTGCTTTATGCACTCGGTCAAACTCGCTTGCCGGTTAGAGCACCACTCTAGAACAAGAAGATATTTGTTCGTCGATAGAGCACTCTGATTCTGCTCTTGATATCCTCTTTTTCTTCTTATTTGGAACTGTAACCACCTCAGTCGTTTCTCTTCTGTGCCAACTGACACCAATTGGAAATGCTAAGTGAAGCCAAGTCCTTCTTCACCTGCACTGAACCAAAAATCCATCTCTGGATCAAAGAAAAACTTTCCTTACTTTAAGGTCGAAAATTCTTCCGAATAAGTAAAAAATTCTCCCGAATGCATAATTTTTCTTTGGAATGTATAAAAACGTACACGAAAATATGGAACCGTGGATGATATCTATCATTTTCAGTAGGTGGCTACCGGAGTTCGCCCTGGTCTTGAAACCTTTCGTAAGTCGCCTAACTCTCTGGTAAAATTTTCGGTCCTTTTTCCTGTCGGCCAGCTCTTCGAACTTACGTATTTCGGCCTCTCTTCATATTGCGGCAAAAACATCTCCTTTCCCTTTTCAGTCCCACATAGCTCGCGTTGCGCCTGATCGCAGCATGACTGTGGAGGCGGCATCCTTTCTTTGCACCTTTTTAACATTCCTCATCGTACCAGTTGTTCTTTCGGGCGCTGAAATCCGACTATCTCTTCTGCCGCGGTACTTAAGAGTGATCTCTGAGAGCAGGTGGAGTAGTGAATGTATTGGCCGTCTGTTGTGACCCCAACTTTTCGACGTTTAACTTTCTTTGAATTGTTGGGCGGACATTTTTTGCTGCACAGAGCGGCTGCTTCAACAATATAGTGGTTCAAATCGATGATTGACTTCGGACTGTATCTAAGTCTAAACCACTGGAAGCTTGCCTCCCGCCTATCACAAAATTATCGATTTGGTTTCTCGTTTTTTGATCTGAAGACAGCCGCGTTACTTGATGGATATTTTTGTGTTTGAAACTAATATTTCATATTACCATGTTTCGTGCCACGGCGAAGTCGATCAGTCGATCAGCGTGGAGCTGAATTTTCCGACGGTGGTTCCAAAGATCCGAGCAGACGCATCTTCCCCATTAAGGGTCCGGACATTGTGGGTGCAAGCCCTCACATCGTAGTCCTTTAAACGTTTACCATGGTCGTCATTAAAAGAGGGGTCTCATCCGAGGCTTCGTCGCTCTTATTCACTGGAAGTGGTTTTACGTGGCAGGTCACAAACCCAGCGCACAACTCATTCCTGGGAAGAGGTTGTTTCTTCACCGAATACATGTTTATATAGCTACAAGACAGACACTCGATTGAGGACCTTTCGTTCGTGCGAACACCTTTTCTCTCAGAAAAATAACAATGCGCAAGTAGATAAATATTAGATAAAATTTAACAACCCAGAACAGCTTTCACATCAGAATCAGCTGTTTCCATTTTTTCATCAATAATGTAAGGGATGTCCTGATTACTTTGTTTATACATTTGGATATCTTTTGCGCAACATTTAAGTACATATGTATGTATATATAAGGCAATATCACAAACATCAGGGTTGCTTTTTAGGAATTCACAACTTTGTTGATTCGAAAGCAAGAAACGTTTAGGAAATCAGCCATAGTGCCACTGCTATTCAGATAGCAGATCTAAATATCAACTAGAGATGCGCGATGTTAACCGATGCATCGGGAACATCGATGTTTCCAATTCGATGCATCGAATAAATTCCGATAACGGCCGACTTTAGCCGTTTTTTATTGAAGTAGTTACAAAAGAAAATTTGTATTGTTAGGCATCTAATAAACAAGTAAAGAATTATACGATTGGGTCGGAGGCAGTCAAGGTTATCGACCGATTTAAACAATTTTTGTAATAAATTCATTAAATAAAATTAATTTGTGTAATAAATTGTCTTAAATATGCGCCTAAGTGCAAAGTCGTGCCTCCCTAGGTATTCGCTAAACATTAGTTTTCAAGCTAAATTTCACGTTTTGTGTTTTTTGTTTTTTGTCTTATTTACCCACTTTCATTGTGTTATTTTATTTTGCATGCCTCTCATACATATCAAAACCACCCAGCTGATAGGTTACCAGCGCCTAGCTATTAATTGCATTTTATGTATCTTCTTCACATACTCTTTCACAACACTTGGAAACTCTTATACTAGCCCAGCCAATTGTGCAACTTCCCCCACAAATTATGTTCACTCGTTGCAGGCGCTCAATGTTTCGCTACCATTTCATTCACATTTTTCCAAGCATGGTTGCACTCTTCTATTTCATTTTGCTCACCACTTTCAAACAGCGCACCGGAAACGCTCTCCGCCAGCCAGCCATCCGCTCACGATGAACCGTTGTTTGTTTGCCAGTTTTACTGGAGTCACATTAGAGACGCACTAGCGTAGCATTTGGCCAGCCGCAGCGAGTTCAGTATTCGTCGTCTGTTCATTTAGTTTGGATGTTGTGTGAAATAACTTCGCTTCTCGTCGTTCGGTTTTATAATTTGTTCAATTTTCTATCACTCAGATATAATTTTTGAATATATAATTTCAAATGATGCTTATCTATGTATGTTTATATATTCACTCTTTAAAACTATAACTAACTGTGCATTTAATTTAATATACTAAAAATAAAAAAAAAATACTGAAGTAAAGCTTTGAAGAAAATTAACACCAAATGTGCCAGCAATAATCCCAAGTGTGTTGCACAGTCAAATATTGACAGCTGTCACCTGTCGCAAAGTCGTGGAAGTTGTCGGTGTTGCAGCTGCTGCCAACAGTGTTGTCACCGCCTGCACCAACGAACCAACTACCCCCACCTATCTTCTCTGCGCCGAACACTATTTGTTAGTTGTTGCATATTTTTGCCGGTAACTCGAGTAAGTACTCAAACATTCGTATTACACGTTGTATCTCCAGCATCCGGTCAGACCCCCTCGGCGTACATTCAGCCAGTCAGCTGGGAAACAGTACCGCAGTATCGGTTTGTGTTTGTGTCTCGTTGTGCTTCATTTTACGTTGCAGTTGTTGAATTTAATCCACAACATTGTAAATTATATAAAAACTCAAAAAAGGAAGCAGAAACTACTTACAACAAGTATGCGAATAAATTTATTACAATTCATCAACCTCAAGTGAGCAACAAAAAACAAAAGCAAAAAAGTTAATTATCATATTCGCCAGAGTCGCATTGCGCTCACCCGGCCCTTCGTCGGCTCTGTTTTCGGTTAATTTGTTGTGACGGCTGCACTGCGGTGCCAACGAGACAGACGCCTGAGGCCAAAGTTGGTTACTTTTGCCCTTATCAGCGGATCGAAGGCCACAAATGGAAATTACTATAGCTAGCAAATGTGGTTTAAAGTGAAGAATTAATGTCGAAATTTGCGTTAAATTGTGCAAGTGTTGAGTGGTGAACGATAAGAAAGAATTGTTTAAGAGCAAATTACTCACAAGTGTACAGAAATACATACCTACTTTTACGATAATATTAATGTTAAATGTCAGTGTATTTATACATATTTTAGCAGTAAAATCAAAACCAAATAAGTGTATTTTAAGAAATAATTTCCTGGAAAGCAGCAAGTATTTCACGACACTTTGATGAATAGGAGCACGTAAATGGGATAAGAGTTTAGAATTTCCAAAGGTAAATATAAATAATCGACTTTTAATTACTTTTCAATGATAAACTATGGTTTAATTGAAAAAAATTTATATGTAAAACATGCAAAATTTAGAATTGCAAAATTTGTATTTTTGTTTGAAATAGATACCATTTAGTAGTTTATTGAGTGTATTCAAGTCACTTTGATTAAAAAAGTTTTCGTTTTTAAAGTCTTCTATCAAAATGTGGGTGTGTATGTGTGCATTAGGGAACATCACGAAAAAAGTATTATTTTCTAATTATAAAATTTGGTCTTATATATCTTCTCTTATACTAAAATATTTTGCATCAATTCGATTACATTTCTGATTAAAGCTTTATACAGCTCTAAATAAAAGATGGAAAATTCATATAAAATGACGTTCAAGAATATGGAAAAGAAAGTTTTGCTATAAAATCTTCTTAAATCAGTTTCCGCTTCTCAAGAATAAAATACTCACATATCTTTCTTCAAGAAAATGTATAGCAAAATCAAAGTACTTTTTCAAGCAGCAGAAATAGTTAAAGCTATTCACTATTTCATAGTATGACGACAAAATTTGTCGACATATTTTGACACAACTTTATCTCCTTTATCCCTTTCTTTACCGATTATATTATAGGCAAAAAAACGGGCGGATGAAGACCAATTCTGCCCTAAGTTAATCCATAGTTCGTTTTTTTTTGTATAATTTCTCAACATGTTTTCACTTAGTTTGATTACAAACTCCATTGAATTTGATATGGTGAAAACCAGTCTTAAGCTTGTAGCTCTCAAAGAATTATAGAAATTGGTTGACGTGAGTCCGAGTTATGCGGTAACATACATAAAAATATTCCGACGAGTTGATAACCTCCTCCTGTTTTGAAGTCGGTAAAAAATAAGAGCATTTTAAGGGCTGTAAACTGATTTAATAAATTTTGGACAAAAAAAATTTATTTTCCATTTCTTTTGCGAATCTAAAAATAACAATAAAATAACCATTGTTTGTGCAATAATGATATATATGTTCTATTATTTGCTTTCAACTCAATAGATTCAGTTATTTTGAGAACAACCGGATACCCGGATAACAAAAATGAACAGATATTAACCAAATATCCGGATATTCGGTATTAAACTAAGATATATGCACCAAACCTTTTTTAATTACTTATTAGGATTTCTGAGTAATTTCCGGACACTTCATGGAAACTTGATTAGTTCACCTACATACTTTTTGGCTAATTTTCGTATTCAAGGTGCCATAGAAATGGTATTAACTTTTTCTCAATAAGCGGCGACTAAAAATTATGAAAACTGCCTTTGACCATAAAAAATGGGCACTTGAAAGATCAGGTTGAGGTTTTTTTTTTCAACTACAACAACGATATTTTCAAAATAACGCCATTTTAAGGCAATTTTCGAAAACTCATTAAAAGGTATTTTCTTCCATTATTCTTGTCGCTAAAAAATTAAACATTCAAATCGCACGGTGCTTCAGTGCAAAAACTTTTCTGGCATTTTTTGGGCCTAAACAAGTAATTTTTTTTTAAAGGATAAATGGAGTAAATATTCTTTCATTGCTACCTTGAATAAGTAAAGGGAAGGTAAATTTTTCGACCAGGTTTAGCGTATAAATGACTCTGAATTTAGTCGTAATGTTTGTTGGAAATTTCAAAACTAACCAAATGGTATAACAATAAGTTTGTTTGGGGATGTATTGGGATTTGGATTCAAAGTAACTTGTAAAATCAGAATTGGTTACGCAGAAAAAAGTTTCTAGGCTAAGGGGTAAAAAGACAAAAAACAAGAGATTCCATAGAGATTCGTTATTGATTTTATGTGAGAATTCTTATTGATTTATCGAGTATTGATAGCAATACATATCTTTTAAAAATCATAGATCGAAATTTCTTCTTTTTTTTTGCTATGCCGAAGGCTTCATACCTTTCATGAACATCTACAAATTTTACTTTGGCAGATTACTGCTTTTTAATACATCTGCATACATCGATAGAGGAGTTACATACTTATATAAAAAATCGCATCTAAACAATCAGAGGTATGGAAGATATACTTTATATGACACCAATCTAAGTGATTTTCACCGCTATTTGATCGGTATGTAAACCGGTAACACAATTTATTGGGTTTAGTTTCGTACATAAAGGAGATATATGGCAAAAACTGGTATCTTAACAATCAGTGCTATAGGAGATAAAGCTTATACAGCATAGATTTTGACGATTTTCTCAGTAGACTTTGTATTATTATTTATAAAATATCTTACGAAATTTATCGGTTTTAGCTGTTCAAATAAAGGAGTTTTACAGTAAAATCCCATATCTGAACAATCAGATGTATGGAAGATATATGTTGTAGTCATCCGATCCTTTTTATTTCCACTGTATGTATTCTGTTAATAATGAGTGAAAATGGTGCGAAATTTCATGTTCCTAGCTGCATAAATGGAGGAGTTATGATAAAAGACCTCATATCTGAACAATCAGTTGTATGGGGGCTGCAGGTTATAGTGACCCGATCTTTGTTAAATTCGCTGTAAGTCTTCTGTTGATAATGAGTGAAAACAGCGCGAAATTTCATGGTCCTAGCTACAGAAATGGATGAATTATAACGAAAAATCTCATATCTGAACAATCAGTTGTATGGGAGCTATAGGTTATAGCTACCCGATCTTTTTAATTTTCACTGTAAGTTTTCTGTTGATAATTATTGAAAACAGTGCGGAATTTCATGTTCCTAGCTATATAAATGGAGGAGTTATAACGCAAAATTTTATATCTGAACAATCAGTTGTATGGGTGCTATAGGTTATAGTGACCAGATCTTTGTAATTTTCACTGTAAGTATTCTGTTGATAATGGGTGCAAGTATTGCAAAATTTCATGTTCGTAGCTGCATAAATGGAGAAGTTATAATGAAAAATCTCATATCTGAACAATCAGTTGTATGGGAGCTATATGTTATAGTGGTCCGATTCTTCCGGTTCCGACAAATGATTAATACATTATAAAAATACACCCACCTACCAAATTTGATCCGGATATCGAAAACTGAGAGACTAGATTGCATACAAACAGACAGACAGACGGACAGACGGACATGGCTAAATCAACTCAGCTCGACGTTCTGATCATATAAGTATACATTTTCATGGGTCTATCTCTTTTTGTTCTGGTACTTACAAACATCGGACCAAAGTTATAATACCATTTCATGCTCAGGAAAGGTATAACTAGAGAGAAATTCTTTCTTGGTTTCATTGGAAATATATCTTCTTGCTTTTGTTCTATTTTATTAGGGGTTTTCGCCTTTCATTTTAAAGCTTACATTATAGTTACATATCTTAATCAAAGCTTAAAAATATTGTATAATACTTCTTGCACATTCTTTTCCCATAAAATTTAAACAAATACTTTCTAAAGATATTTTAAAAACGACTTTGGGCTCATTTTAATATCGTTATTGTATTGGGTTCAATTGTGATTCCAAATTTCTGATCTAATAGCACGTTTCCACCAAACGCTTAGCTGCAGTTTAGAGCTCAGGTAAGTTTCCAGAATTTTAACATGGGGTGACATGCAAGGTTTATTGATTGATTTTTGCTCTTTTACTTTCGCTTGTTTGCTGGAAATGAACTATAAAGGCATATTTGGATAAATAAAAATGTAAAGGTGTGAAACTAAACGACTCCAAACATGAATTACAGTCATAAATAAGAACCGCTTCAGGATCGTAGAAACTAGGCTGTGAAGAAATACTAAGAACTAATTTCTTTCGGCCCGAACATGAAACCAAACTTTTATTAAGTTATTGAAATCGCTTAATCCGAATACAAAATCCACTCCCCTCCACCAATTCAGATTATTACTTGACTGGCTTCACACATTTTGCTAAGTGCTGGATCGAGCTTCTTCTCCAATTTGTGGTAGGCATTATTCTGATGAAACACAATTAGAGAGGCATTCAGTTCTACGTGTCCGAAGGATCTTAAAATTACTCGCGAAGGTATGCCATTATCTGCCTGAATAAAAAAACTGTATTGCTGGTCT